GTAGGGAAACTGAGGGACTAGCTCAGGGTCCCGTGCGAGTGGACGGTGGGATGCCGTCCAGGTACACACACGTCTGTCGAGCTGCGATGCTAGTGCCGTTTCCGCCTCACGTTTTTCTGGTCAGACTCATCAGCCAGCACGGTGGCCAGGTCGGTTACTTGGGTCTCATGCATCTCTAACTGAACAAGGCAGATCGAATCATTGGGTGAGGACCAGGAGTCTGGGGCGACCTCCACGTGCCTGAACTTAAAGGGCAATTTTTAAAAGCAAGAAATCATGCAGGGAAAGAACTGTTTGAAGGCCAGACTTAGATTAGAAACAAAACAAGAGAAAGATATTTGTCTTTGACTGGAGCCTGGAACTTGAAACAGGACCTGAGCCCTGTTGATACCTTCCAGGTAATTTGAGGAGGGAGAGCATAGCTGCACTTACTGAGGTTGACAGTCACCAAGGTTTCCCAAGTGGGGAAAAGTCAAGCCCCTATGCAGGCATTTGTTCATTCAGCAGAGAGTAGCTAAGAGCTGTCTGTGTGCCAGGCATAGTGCTGGCCACTATGGGCTCCACAGTGAAAGAGACCCATGTGACCCTTGGACTTGGAGAGGCCGACAGCCCAATGATGCCTGTCAGGTCAGGCGCTGCCCTCTGTCTGCAGCCTCTTCCCTCAGGCAGCCATGCTCCAGCAAGAGAAACTAAGTACTGTCTGGAGAGACAGGTGGGGACTGCTCCTAGAAGGCTGGGGCTGGGGGGTTCGGGCTTGGCGATGTGAGCAGTGGAAAGCATTTTAAGTCAGAGGGTAATAGGGTCCAGTTGCCATTTAAAGAATTGTTCATGATCCCATCTGATCTCAGAAGCTAAGGGAGACCACCTAGGAAGACCAGGTGCCTTAGGCATAAAAAATAAAAAATAAGGGATTGTCAGCCGACAAGGTCCTTGCAATCTATGAGGTCAACCAAGGGTTGCCTCGCCTAAAAAAAAAAAATTGTTCATGGCAGCTGTGATGCCATTTTCCCCAGTGATCACTTGCCTGATTCCTAGTCCTACTCATCTTAGCCCTGCCCAGCTCAGCATCATTTCCTCAAGGAACTAGGCAGGGCCCTTTGTCATCACAGCAGGAGTCCCAGTTGCTGAATCTTACGCCATCATTGTTAACATCAGTGTCCCCTGAAAGAATGGTAGGGCTGAGTGTGTCTGATCTGCACTGTTTGCCCAGTGCAGCACTGGTGCCAGGTACAGTGTACACTTTTAGGAAGCACCAGATGAAGGAATGCTGGACACCCTGGCACCTAGCCTAGGGCCTGGCATGAAGTAGTCGCTCCTCTAGAGAGATTTCATTATGCACATTGAGCAAAAAGTCACCCTGTAAAGTGTGACAGAGTAAATAACTTACAAATCTAGACCACTTTCACATGGTGTGCCAGGATGGCCAATGGGCGCAGGGACTTGGGCTGCAGCTCCAAGAACCTCAGGGATCCTGATGGTGGTGCCCAGCTCCACTTGTCCCCTGAACATACTTTTTCCTCCATAGACTCTGATGCTGTCCTCTAGTAAGAGAAGGTTGCTCACGGCTCTGCTGCAGGCTCGGAGATGGCCCTTTCAACCCTCCAGAGACATGAGATTAGTGCAGTTCCAGGCACCCCACCTGGTAGGACCTCACCTGGGCCTGGAGTCAGAGAATGGCGGGGGGCTTATCAACCTCAACACCTTTGACCCCACACTGCCCAAGACAATGACGGAGTTCCTGGAGCAGGGAGAGACCACTCTCTCAGTGGCGAGAAGGTAAATCAGCCAGCAGCGCACTATGTAGTCATGACCTTGTTCCCTTTTCCCCACTCCGACCTCCATCCCTGCCTAGCAACAGAACCAGCAGGTAGCTCTTTCGCAAGGGAGCAGGGCAACTTCACCTTTCTCACCTGTTCTCTTAGTGAAGAGCCTTAGAAATCTTATGTGACAGCAGCCTCAGTTTATAGAGGGGGAAACCAAGGCACAGGGAGCCTGGTTAGCCCAAGGCCACAGCTTTGGTGATGGATCCAGAACTCTTGTTTCATGACACTGCTGGGGATGATGCCCACCTGAGGAGTCTTGGACCTTGGGTCCTAGCAGCATCTTGGGAAGCCGGGGCAGGGGTGAGTAGGCTCTTGGCTCCTCGGGGCAGAGAGGGCTACAAAGAGGTTTTCTTAAAGATGGTACCTGGGTTTGGGCTGGATCTGATGGCGACTTCCCTGCGGCATCTGGTTTGAAGGTGCCAATGAACAGCAAAGCAGACCACCTCGAGACAGCCTCTGCACTGCAGACTGGGAGGGATGCAGATGGGTGCCAGCATGCAGTCTTGGTGAGGATGTTTCCCACATTTTGTATGCTCTCAAGATTGGGACCTGCTTCCGTGTCCTTCGGCAGGGAGTTGGGTGTGTCGCTGCAGTGCAGCAATGTGCAACCACATGCAAAAAGACCGTTATGGCAAGGTCTTTAAAATGTGTATATTTTTAATAAGGTGTATATAGTGTGATGTCATTCACACAAAATGATGGGCAAAGAAGAATATATGTAGTTGCTGTGAAGAGCTACACAGGACAGTGTGTCCCTAAGGCTGGAGTAGGGCAACAAGAAGGGGTGAGGGAAAGACCCTTCCAGACACTTCATATGCACCTCTGAATCCCCTCACATGGACAAGTGTCACCCACTCTGGGTGGGCAACAGACAATACTTCATGTCAGAGGGTGACAGCGGGCCTCGACTTCTACCCTGACAGTTGAGAGATCTAGAAGCTTTTAAAGCAGCCAAACTCGTAGGTGCTACAGTACCTCCCCAGCACCGCAAGACTGCAGCCCACTCCCAGCAGCCCCTCTCTCCTGCCCTGGTCTCTGCAGAGCCCTGGCTGCTCAGTTGCCAGTCCTGCCACGGGCAGAAGTGACCTTCTTGGCTCCAGTCACGCGGCCAGACAAGGTGGTGTGTGTGGGCATGAACTACGTGGACCACTGCAAGGAACAGAACGTTCCTGTGCCTAAGGAGCCCATCATCTTCAGCAAGTTTGGCAGCTCCATCGTGGGGCCCTACGATGAGATCGTCCTCCCTCCCGAGAGCCAGGTCGGTGCCTCCCCACTGCCCTCTCAAGCCACTGCAGCCCATCACAAGGTGCGCAGCAGCCAGCCCTGAGGGCTGGCTGTCACTTAGTATGCATTAAACAGAAACTCCAAGGCTTGTAAAGGAGTGAGACTGGCCTCAGGGAAGAAATTGAGAGAAGAAAGACCTTCCGTTATTCCCATTTGGATTACAAAAGTGATGCTCCTTCACTGTAGAAAATTATAAAGTTCTGCATGCATCCCCTGAGAATAAGGACAGGGTCCCCCGTGACCAGGATATCATTATCCCAACCAGGAAAATTAACATGAATGAGCTCTGACAGTAGTACAATCAGGGATTCCCATCACTCCCAAAGAGGACTTTAGTGTGGGTATTGGTTCTTCTTCATGTGTTCGTTGACTGGGATCGGTCAGACCACATGTGTTTGGTTTGTCTCCTTAGTGCCTGTGACCTGCAGGCTCACAGGGACCCACAGACTTTTCTCAAGGGGCCAGATAGTCAGTATTGGACTTTGGAGGCCAGTATCTGTCACAGTGATTCAGCTTTGCCACCATGGTGTGAAGACAGCCGTGGCTGCCATGTAATGAGCAGACAGGGTAGGGTTCCACAGAGACAGGCCATGCTTTGCAGACCTTTGCCCTCTGAATCCTGCTCTCTGCTGTCCTTTGGGAAACTGACTAAAGAGTCCGGGCAAGTATCGTAGCCTGCCCCACAATCTGGATTTGTCTGGTTGTCCTCAGGGTTAGATTCAGGTGGAACATTCCCATCAGAGCTCATGGTGTCGTGGTTCTTTCAAGCAGCCATCACGAGGTAGATGGGGGCTCAGCAGCAGACACCTGTTGCTCACAGTCTGGAGGCCAGAGGGCCACGGTCATGGCGCCGACAAGTTTGGTGCATGGTGAGGCTGCTTCCTGCTTCAGAGAGCTGTCTTCTCACTGCGTCCTCACATGGCAGAAGGCCAGGGCTCTCAGGTCTCTATGATAAGGACACTGTCCCCATTCATGGGGGCTCTCCCTGTGACGTGATCACCCCTAATGCTATCACATTGGGGGTTATGTTTTAACATGGAAGTCTGGGGGATGCCAACGTCATCTGTAGCAGAGGCTGATCCTCACCCTGCACCCCACTGGGAGGCTTCTGTCAGGTAGGCCGTGAGTTTGCC